AGACTTCGACTACGCCGCCGCTTTATCGAATTACCAAACCCAAGACGGCCACGTCCCTCTCACCCCACAACAACGGAATGATGTCCTTTCTCAAATCGTAAACAACACGTCCGCCCAAAACACAAATAACGCGCTCACCAACCCGCATCCGCCTGAAATGGACCGCTTGCTGGGTGACCTAGCGCAGTACCAAGCGACACAGCAACAACTAGAGATGCTACAAAAGTTGTCCGACCAGCAAAACAGCAAAATCCAACACATCCACGAGCGTATCCTGCCGCTATCCCCCACAGGCCAGATCTCCGGTCTTGGCGAAGGCAACGACGGGTACTTTGGCGGTGCAACCGGCGACGACGGCGGCCTAGGCGAACCCGGCGGGTTCGATCTCAACATGGGCCACTTTGTCAACGACGACGATTTCTTCACCGCAGACGCGAATCCCCCAGCAGACCAAAAAGTGACCGTAAACGGGATTAACGGCATCAACACCAGTACCAACGGCGGCGGTGGTCTACCTGATTTCACATTCGATGCTAGTACGCCTTTTGATGTTGATCCCGCGAATGGGGATACTGGTGGGTTTGATTTCGCGGATGATGCGAATGGGATTGGGGGTGAGGATAATGGGTTGCTTGGTGTGGATGATGCGACGGGGGGTGCGAGTGGGAATGGTGGGAATGTGAATGGCGTGGGTAAGATTGAGAGTGCGGGGAGTGGGGGGAGTAGTAATAGTACTAGTCCGGCGGCGACGGTGGAGGAGGTGGAGGATGAGACGAGGAGGGGGAATGGTAGTGGGAGTGGGGGTGGGAGTGCGAGTGCGAGTGCGAAGAGGAGGAGGAGGTAGACGGGTGGATGGGAGAGATTGTACAAAGACAAAGGGGAGCGGGAAAGGGATGGGATGGGATGGGATGTTGTATTTGAACTGCGGAGGATTACGACAGTCACGACTGGATCGAGTGTTTTTATCAGCCACGCGTCTTTTTCGCTGGCCTTTTTTCTTACGGCTGTGGGCTTGTTTGCATGTATGCACATGTCGTGTTTTTTTCTTCTCTTCTTTTCGTAGTAAGGAGAAGGAATTTAGATACCCCACTTCTTCATATGGTTGTGTTTGCTGGTGTTGTTGGAAATGTGGTGACTTGGTGATAGACATTCTCAAGTCCTGCCTCAATTCCTTGCTGAAGTCGATCGAAATGTAGAGATGGTTCGGTATTATGTTGTGTGCCTGACTATATAGGTGTAGACTGACTGTTACCCAGCAAATCGCGCCCCGCCGTATCTCTATACCTACCCCACTCGAGATCGAGCCACTCCTGCTGTCCAAGTCTTTCAAACAAACTCATGACCTCCTCGCTGGGTCTCCAGTCGCCAACCTGCCACTGCACCACCGGTAGTCTCAATGCCGCAGCAGCAGCATCGCCGTTCTTCTGCGTCTCACTACCACGCCCAGCAATGAACTTGACACCCCATTTATGCCCCTTCTTCATCCTTAAACCATACTCCTCCACTTCTCTTTCGTCCGAGGGGCACCACCACAGGTGCGTAAATACCTCCGCGTCCTCAAGATCCGGCATATTCTCGCTCGTCAGCGCCTTCGCAAACGCCGCAAGCAGCGGCTCGATGCGCTCTCTGCAGGGCTGGACGCGGAACATGTTTACATCGTATTCGGGTCCGTCGGTGACTTCGTAATCATACCGACCACGGAGATCCCCGCACTCATCCCGGTCGATCTCCCGGAGGTAATGTGCGGTGTCTGAGATCTTGTAGCCTCCTTGTTCAGAGTCGTGAGGGTCCTCGCCTCGGGGCCCGATGAAGTACCACCGCCCGTCTGGACGCAAGGGATGGAATTCGAGTCTGAAGCGCCGCATTCGTGACCATTGCTGCGGGGTTGGTGCGTTGGGAAGGGGGAAGAGGTCGGGAGTCACCATGGCACGGATGTCGAATAGGGTTAGTTGGGCACCGAGTCTGCGCAGACCGATGGAGACGGGGTCTTTGTCTGCGGGGTGGATCAGGTTTGGTCGGGCAAGGGACTGGTCGTGCTTGGGGAGTGAGAAGAAAGGATAGAAATGCAGTGCGGCTCTGGTCAGACTGGCGGGGATCCTTTTGCCGCAGAGGTACTTCTCCTGGTCTATGATGGCATCGCCAAACTCGTGGCGGGCGTCTCGTAAGGGACCTTCCCACGGCCAGGTCCAATGCTCGCGCATCACCTTGCTCGAAATGGTGGACGGCATGGGTCTTTCCCATAACCAACGGGCGGTCCATTCTTGTACTGCTGGCAGGTGGACGAGGCATTGCAGTGGTACGAGGGGAGATAGAGGGCGTATGTCTCTTGCGGTGTCGGCGTCGGAGCCGCACGCTGATCTGATGGAGAGACTGCTTATGAAGGGTAGATCGGGTAGTTTCTCTGGGTTTTGTAGCTGCAGGCGGTGCGAGTGGTGTCTGCGATGGTAGCACACCAGGCATCCCAGGTCGTCTGTGTCGAACTTTTGTGTCTCGATTTCGATGTTAAGGGCGATGCTGGATGGCGGGTCCTCAACCGCTATACACGCAGCAGCGGACTGCTCGTAAACGGCATGAATGCGTGCGGATGTGTGGGCACTGATGGCCAGGGTTTCCTCTGCGGGTTCACAGCATGGTAGTGGTGGGCTTGCTTGTCCATCGACGAGGATGAGCGGTAATGGGAGATCGTATTGCAGAACCCCGTATTTGGCGTTGAGTGCTGCTTTGGTCTGTTCGAAGAGTTCACGTTGAAAATCGGGGTCCGTCTCCCGGAGCGGCATATTGATTCATGACTTACTGTGCTACTACAATGTTGCGTGATAGGCTCTGCCTAGGCCCCGCCTCTAGTCTCTCCCACGTGCAGGTTGTTAAAGACGCAGGCGCATGTGGGGTGCTCCGCACTGCACTTCATCCTACACGTCGCTGCACTCGCCTTTGTCGTGACTTACGTTCCTCCTGCGGCTTAATGTACATGACTCGACCGCCCGTTTGCGTATCCGGCCCGTTCAGACGGGTAGCCATTAGTACCGCGGTCGCTCATAGTAGGCCGGACGGGTCACCGTGATGACGGGAGTGGTAACGGGAATGGTGACGGGAGTGTGAAGATATAGATAGCAACATGGCTCTTCGGGGCCGGCATCGCACACCATGAGCACAACACTTGCACCCCCCAGCGTCGACGTCGGCGCCCTGTCGCCCGCGCCCGCACCCGCCAAGTCACGTGCCTCGACAGCCGCGAAGAAGCAGACCCCAACAGCCCTAGTCTCGCTGCTATCCGGTGCCGTCGCGGGCGGCGTCGAGGCCACAGCAACCTATCCCTTCGAGTTTGCCAAGACGCGCGCCCAACTGCAGGCCGGCAGCGGTGGCTCCAAGAACCCCTTCGCCGTGGTCGCTCACGTCGCCCGCACCCATGGCGTCGGCGCCATCTACACAGGCTGCTCCACGCTGATAGTGGGCACCGCCTTCAAAGCTGGCGTGCGCTTCCTCTCCTTCGACTCTATCCGCAACCGCCTCGCCGACGAGCAGGGCGTGCTGTCTCCCGCGCGCGGCGTGCTGGCCGGAATGCTGGCCGGCAGCGTCGAGAGCATCGTCGCTGTCACGCCCACAGAGCGCGTCAAGACGGCCCTGATCGACAACGCGAAGAGCACCAGTGCTGCGCGCTATCGCGGGGGTTTCCACGCCACACAGATGATCCTGCACACCCACGGCCTACCTGGCCTGTATCGCGGGCTCGTGTCCACTACCATGAAGCAGTCAGCCACGTCTGCCGTCCGCATGGGCTCCTACAACGTCTTGAAGGATGTCGCGCGCCAGAAGAACTTGCCGCAGAATAGCTTCGTCACGTTCGGCCTGGGTGCCATAGCCGGCACCATTACTGTCTATGCAACACAGCCTTTCGATACCATCAAGACGCGCGCCCAGAGCGCACAAGGCGCGAGTACAATGGAGGCTTTCTGGAGCGTTATGCAACACGCTGGTGTTCGCGGGTTCTGGAGTGGAAGTACCATGCGACTGGGCCGATTGGTTTTCAGTGGCGGCATAGTCTTTACTGTATATGAGAAGCTCGCAGCTCTTATGACTCCGTCATCGTTATAGAGATCGGGTGTTTTTAGTGGCGTTGATTTATATCCTCGTAGAATTTGGCTTTGCTCCATATTGTCTAGTATTACGATAAATTACTACTACTGCCATCATTGTCTCTATCAAATCGCGTGCCGCTGAACCCTAGCCGAAGACTACATGTGACATTATAATCAATCAACTGTGTATAGACGCGCTATGCTGCATAGCTCTAATGGCTTTCAAGAGAGTACATATTTGCGCTGTGTTGTATTGTGATAGTAAATTAAAGTCACCCTGACTGTGCACGATCCGACGTGCCAGGGTGGGGCACTTTGAGCGCCTTATCTGGTCCGATACCGACGGGCTGGGACAACGTCGTTCATCGCACGTGGCCAACGGCGCATCTTCTCCTGTCTTTCACGAACGCCGCATCTGATGCTCTGCACACTCCCGCGGCAATATCATGCGAGAGGCAACCCCATGAAAATTGCAGCCTACAGTCCAGCCGCGGGACGGCATGGGCTACACATCCCGCGGCAACGAATGCGGCTTCGACTTACCCGCGGGAAGGAAGGGCTCGCTTCGAGGCATGGCGTGTCAACAACGCTCCGAGATCCTTCGCGTACCGGCATCCCCTCGCTCTAGCTTCTTGGAACCAGCCTTAGTTGCCAAACGGGGACTGACAGTGGCGCATATCCACTGCCATGGTTCGCCGTTTCCTGGGGCCCCGCATTCCCCAGGCCTGCTCGCATTCTTAGCCTCCTCTCTAGACCCTTGGTATGCTTGCTAGACGCCTTTGGCAGCCGAATCCGTGAGATAGCCCGCGGCCAATCGTGCAAAGGCTTTTCAAATGGCCGATTGTCTATATAACGACGAGGTGGGTGTCGTGAAGATGCAACATCAATTCACAGCTCGGTCGTCGGCGCACTCGACACAGCAACATGACGAACACCGACGAGAAGATGACGAGCATCGACGAGAAGATGGCAGGTGCTGAGTTCAAGGAGGTAGCTCCTGAATCTGGACCCATCACACCGCAGCAGATTCAGGCTCGCTTCGAAACATTGAGAGATTTGAGCCAGGAACAAATGGATGCGTTGAACAAGAGACTTGTCAAGCGGCTTGACTGGAGACTCATGCCATGCATCACTCTGATGTTTCTCATGAAGTAAGAATTTCGAAGCGTACTCTTGCATTGTTGTGCTTACCAAACCTAGCTACCTCGATCGCATCAACGTGTCCAATGCACGCCTGGCTGGGCTACAAAAGGACTTGCACATGAGCGACACTATCTGGAATACGGGTATAGTATGTTCTTCCCACCACTCCAAGCTTACCCCTACGCCTACGATGTTGAGAGCTTACGCTAACGTTGTACCTCTACCTCCAGTCAACCTTCTACGTCGGCTATCTCGTTGGCCAACTCCCCGGTAACCTGTGGCTCGCAAAGGCCGACCCAAGATGGCTTCTGCCGTCCATGATGATGGCATGGAGTACCGCCACAATCTGTATGCCAGCAATGACCAGTGGAGCTGGCTTCGCCGTGTGTCGTTTCTTCATCGGCTTGTCTGAGGCGCCTTTCTTCCCGGGTATCACGCTGAGTATGTTCCCGTGCATTAGACCCACATTCAATGAGCTGGAACTGACGGGCAACAGTGACATCTTCCTGGTACACCAAAGAGGAGAACCCCATGCGTATGGCTATCTGGCATGCAGGAAACACCATGTCGAATATCTTGTCTGGATTCTTGGCCGCCGGTATCTTGACAAACATGGACGAGGTTCTCGGACTCCACGCATGGCAATGGTTCTTCATCATCGAAGGCGCTGCATCTATTCTTGTGGCCGCCGGTGCCTACTTCCTGCTTCCCTCGTGGCCGCACGACACCAAATGGCTGACCCCGGAAGAGAGCGAAATGGCCATGTACCGCGTACAAGTGTCCAACGGCGGCCATGACGAGGGTGTCGGCGGCACGTGGGATGGTGTCAAAGCCGCAGCCGCAGATCCATTTACCTGGTACTTCTGCCTGATGCACTTCGCGCTCGTAACAGCGCAAAGCTTCAAGGATTTCCTGCCATCGGTACGTCCCCATGTCCAGTACCACTTACTCCTTATTCCAGTGGCTAACCTCAAGAATCAGATCATGAAGACATTCCACTTCTCCGAACTAACCACCTACCTCGTCCAAGCCCCTCCCTACGCCATCGCCTACGCCTTCGCCTGCGGAATGGCATACACATCCGGCCGCTTCCAAGAATCCTACTACCACATCGTGCTCCCCATCGTCATGTCCGCCGTCGGCTGCGCCGCCCTCATCGGCACCCTCAACATCGGCGCCCGCTACGTCGGTCTCATCCTGCTCATCAGCGGCACCTACTCCGGCCTCAATCTGCAATTGAGCTGGGAGACGACGCTTGTCCCCGCGCCTAGGAGTAAGAAGGCGGCACTTATTGCGATTGCGAATTGCATTAGTCAGACTAGTCATTGGTTTAGTCCGTACTTCTTTCCGACGAGTCAGGAGCCGTTTTATCGCCTCGGTGGGGGGTTGATTCTTTTTGGGTGTGCGGCTTGTGTTGTTAGTGCTACGTTGGTTAAGATGAGGGCGAAGAGTTTGAATAGGAGGTTGGATGAGGCGGAGGGGTGGAGTGAGCATACGGGTGTTGAGAGGGGGTGGAGGCATGTTTACTAGTGGGCTGCGGGTTGGGGAGTAGCTGGTCTGAGATGACAGGATCGATCTTGAGAATTCACGAATTTATGAATGGATGTTTGCGAGTTTAATTCGCCTCGCGAGTGTTTAGTTGTAGTTCGACGTATTACATGCTTCGTGGATCAGCAGGCAAGGCTGCTTTTATGAGTTCCCATACCAACAACATCAACTCTCAACAAGAACAACGTGATGGTTGACCTCGGAAGTGTCGCATTTACCTAGGTAGTTCTTTGCTTAGTAAGAGAAGTTAGGGCTGACGTCGGGTGGTCAGTGCTTCATGCCACTTCCGTCGCGTCTGACATCGTGACCCCCTGCACACACACGACACCACGAAGCTTGTTGCTCATCCACAAGGATGCTAATCGAGAGACGTACGAATCCTTCTTGCCACTACGCCGCATGCATCTGCACGCCGCGCACTTTGGGCACCGGAATGTTTGGTTTAGCATCGGCACTTTCCTCTGGTAACGAGAGAAGCATCGTCGTCAGCCCGTGCTCACAGCACGGATGCCGCCGGTAGCGCACTTCCGTTGCTGCCTTTTGGTCATCTAATCTCAGCTCTGCTCCCTCCGGACGAACCACACGCCCCAGCCGTCCTGTGACCGCGAAGCCATGTGCGCTGGTAAGACATCACCAGGATCCCAGCAGGCGTCCCTGGACTGTCATTAGGTAGCCAAGAAATATACCTGGACGTCAACTACGAGGCTTTGCTCTGTGGCTTCGTGTCCGCCGTCTTCCTCCTTGCTCGTATGCGGGTGTCTGCGGCCGGTGGAAGAGTGTCACGGCACCAATGAGACTGTTTCTCACGGCTATCTTTGATGATTCGACGACGCTGATCAGCTCTTTTTGACATGGCCGCTAAGCGCGTCAGAGGAAGAACAGCCGTTATGCTTCACACCAGGCAAGGATCTTATCCCACTAGTCCCGGGCTTCGAGACGGTGCCTACAGAGCAGGCTCGTCGCGGATGCTGCGACCTGTGCAGAGGGTCAATAACTCCCTTTATATGCTGTCATTTCGATATCTTGGAGTACTCATGTATCTTTTCATTCCCCTCCACGTACCTTGCGCGAACTTGTTTCAAGACGACACCACCATCGGTCCGAACACCCGCCCCACAGTATGTGTATTCGGGTAGTCGAGAAGTTTCCTGTTTGCGGATGTATCTACCACACACATTCGGTGGATCGATGCGCTTACTATGGACGGCATCCTGTGGTTGACAGAGTCGTCTGGGTTGGGGCTGCTTGTCAGCATCACAAGACGTGCTGATACCACGTACCTGCAAGGCTTCGTTTGGGCTTGGTGTCTCGGTCCCATCGCTACCAATTGACGATGCCATGACTATGACCAATGCCTCTCATATCAAGGCGATGATATCTTGGGTTAGGACCAAATTCGGTGATCGAGTCGGAGACTTTCACAGAAAGACAGGCAATAGGATATTGGCAAGATGTGATTTGTATGTTTGTGGTCGGATTCAAGGGACTATCTACTAATAGGTAGGCGCAGACTACGGCTAGATTGACGATATTCGCCCTCTGGCCGTGACAAAAGTCCACCGAAACGGACGTCTGAGTACGGCCAACCTCCAACCCATGTTCGATCGCAACCGCTCCGCCAATGATGGAGCCATGTCACACCATCGTGGACAGCACCATTCTCATTCCAACTTGAAACGACGTCAGAACTGCCACTACACGTGTGCGCCATTCATCACATCGACTGCTATACTGCTTTCCGGATGTCAACGCAGTACAAAGACCACCGAAACAGTCGTCCAGGAAGTCTCTCAAGATGAGTGCGGCCAGATCATGGAATATATCCATCACTCACTGCTGCACGATGTTCTGGCGTTTGGGATACCTCTCCTCGTCCTGCCGGGTCGGACTGGTGACGACACCCTCCCTTCTCCCACGTTCTTCACGCCTCCCCGTACGACTCGACTCGCTACCGGCTGACGACGCAGGACGTGACCGACCGCGGTTGTGGAATGATCGGATACTCTGCATAATTCTATGAGAAGCACGATCCTTTTCCCGGGGCTGAACACCTCCGGCGTCGCTGTTCTCTGATTGCCTAGGCAGAGCGGGTGGGATGGAAACACTTCTCTTCGTCTTTGCAGCACCGCCGCTGTATACTGAGGATGATCTCGACGTAACGTGTTGACGTGGTCTCGGCTGCTCGACGAAAGGGGTAGACTCTTCAGTCACATAGAGTGCCGTCCCAATGCTCAAGCTACGGGCTCTGGGCGGACTCTCCACAATGGTATCGAGGCTGGTTGAGGTGCGGTACTGCTCAGAACTGACTGGAAGCGGCTCATCCACGGGCACATCGGACATGTCGTCCTCCACCATCAATGCCTTTTTCGCGAGGTCGTTAAGTTCGTCTTCTAGGGTCTTTCTTTCCAAGACCTTTCCGCTGGCCTGTCCACGGTACCGGGTCGGCAGTGAACGCACCGTTGAGATGGAGGTTCCTACAGCACGCCTCACGCACTCGAGGCGCTCGATATCGCGTCTCAGCTCCTGCTGCCCGAGGAGCAAGTACTGCATCGTGTCGACATCGGATATCATTCGCGGATGATGCGTTCCACACGACATGTTTCCCGGTGCCTTGAGATTGTGGCCGTAGTGGCACCTGAGCGCATCGACGACATGTGGCTCTTTCCTCAAGATCCTGTCTTCCCCCAGCGCCGCCTCGAGCACCGCTCTATTGTTGTCGTAGTGCATGCCTCGCGCTTTGAGCGAGTCGTCTTTGAGCGGCAGATCTTGGCTCATACTAGCCATCTCGACAGCTCGAAGCTCGTGGTACTTTGACCGGTATGTCCAGGGCGTGAAGATGCTTGGCGAAGGCAGCTTGTTCCTCAGTCGGTCGTGCAGCGGCAACGTGACGTATTCGCAGTGGTCACGGGTGGACGGCGGAGATGCGTCGGCATCTGGGTCATCAATACAGATTGCCCGCTTTCTGCGATCCTCATTCAAGACCTCGGTGTTGTCGAAGGATGCGCCTTCGACTTTGTGCTTGGGGTACACACTGTTGATGAGGACCTGCATGACTTTGTCTCTGTTGGCTTTTCGCTCTGAGAACTCGGTTGGCTCGCTGTGTTCGTCGCGGGCAGGCATTCTGCTGCGGTGGTAGTCCATGTTGTCGGAAGGGTAGCCTAGGACTGTGAGATGGCGTTCGTCAGTATCGACACACTGGAAGTATACATGCAGGAAGAATGCGAGAGCACGTACCTTGCTTCTTCTCCCTCAGCGCATCATCACCCGCCTCGTTCACATGGGCCAACACACCATCCCAATACTCCCTCGCCTCCTCTTCTTGCCCGGCATCGGGCGACGCGAGCCAGGAATCAGACGGCGCGACAGAGGGGCTGACTGCAACGACACCATCCTTCTCTCCGTCCAGAAGCTTCTTCGCATCACGTCGATCGCCCGCTTCGAAACCTGGAGGAAACACACCCGGAGGCCATGCCACAGACGGTATCCTCGACAACACAGCATCGTCCTCCTCTTCTTCTACCGTATCACGTATCATAGTCTGACTGCGTCCCCGCCTCTCCCCCAAACTCTCATTCCCTTCTTCAATCCCCTCATCAACCGCCTCTTCTCCATCCCCACCACAAAACTTCTTCGTAGCAGCATCATAGTACTTGCCAAACCCCATCAACGTCGGATCCACAGACGTGCTCCGTCCCTTCGTCGCACCGCGCGTGGGCGAGCGCGCAGATGCCGTGCGTGCTTCATAGGACGCGATGCGGGAAGAGAGGAGGTTGCTCGTGCTTGTACTGGGGCTGGGGTTCGGAGTGGGCTTGACGTTGACGTTGATGGTTCTGGGGAGGCGGGAGGGCGTTGGTGGAGAAGCTGGTGCTAGTTGCTTTCCTTTAGATGCGGAGGTGTTGGAGGGTTTGTTGGTGCTGGAGAAGAGAGGCGGTGGTGAGGATGTGGGTGTTTCTGGTGCGTCGTGGAAATGGGAGGGAGTGGGGATCGAAGTTGAAGAGGAGGATGGAGATGGCCATGGGGAGGGAGTGTAGGTGTAGTTGGTGGTGTTGGCGTTGGGTAGACCAGGTGAAGATGCGGATGGTGTGGCGGGGAATGCGAAGTCTTCTTCTGCGGCGGCTCGGAACTTGGAGGTGTTGCGTCGGGGCATGGCTGCTGGCGAGCGAGTCCGACTCGTGTGACACGGCAAGTTGTCGGTGTTGATGCTGCACTGAGCTACGATTTCTTGTGTCTATAGTACGAAAAACAAGACTCCCGTATCGTAAAGAGATGAGGAAAGAGGAAGCGTTTCCTCGCAGTGCCACAGCAGGGCAGGCGACGTCTTTACAAAACCACTCTTCTATCTACCCCTCAATAGATCATTCCCACCTCATTACTGACATGTCGATCGGCTAGTCTATGCCTCAGGGTACTATGCTGATGTCGTAAACACCTAAATCCCCCGGATCAGGGTCTTGACGCTGTAATCACGCATCTCAACACCCCTTCACACACACTAACCGACTACCATATCCAAACTTCGCAGCACAATTTCATCATGAAAAAAGGGACAGGAAACTGGCGTTGAGAAGAGGAATATTGGAAGACAATCCAACGAGGGAGGTAAATAGATCAAACATAACGTTAGGAGAAGCTTGGCGCAGATACTGCTTCGTCCGTGTCAGTATAAGTACCCGATTTTCGCAGACAAACAAGGGTTCACTCACGACCATACTTCCACGCTGTTCATACATCACCCCGACCCTTTGCTTTACCCAGCTTTCGTCTTCACGCCTTTCCCCCCACATCGAATGCCAAAACAGGAGGCAAAGCACATCAAACTGCATACTCGTAATCGTTGGCAAATATATATACACCAAGAAATGCTACCACTGTGGGGTATTAAACCATACAAAAACCAAAGAAACCGTAAACTCATGAACCAGCCCGCTTTCGTATGCTCTGCCAGAAATACGCCCTGGAAACTCCTGATAACATACCCTTGACCCGCGTGCCGAAGCTCTCCTCCCAGTCAATCCCGAATACCTCTGGAGACCCAAAAACATTCGTGCCATGCCTGAAACACATACAGCCAAAGCCCAACGCCGAAGCCAGAGCCGAAGCTCGTCCATCTCTTCCCCATCCTCCCACCAACCATCCCCTCATAACAGGCGCAAACCCTCCACCACCCCCTCCCATCCACCTCCCCTCTAATAAACCTCCCCATGCTCCTCCTTCGGCTTATACATAATCGTCGTCAAAAACTACCCACACATTAGCATCATCATCCACATCCACATCCCCATCATCCACTTCCCCTCCAAACTCCCAACGTCAACATACCTTCTGTTTATACCTCGTAGTAGCACTAGTAGCCAGTATATTATCCTTAATACTGCTCGTCGCCAAATGATTCAGCACAGTATGATTCGGATGAATCAACACACTACTATCATCCTTCATCGGCGTCGTGCCGTTCAATATGCTCTTACCCAGAAAACCAGGGAGGGAGGGCGGCGCAGGCAGGTTATTCGTCATGGCGTTTGCGCGCGCGAAACGGGATGATTCCTCAGGCGCATCGAGATCGAGGAGGTAGCGGGGGATGTTTTGGTGGTATTTCTTTGTTGGTTCGGGAACCACCGGTTTGGCGGGTTCGATTGGGGGCGCGGTGATGGAGGCGGGGTCGAGATCGGGGGTCGGGGGAAGGATTTGGGGCGGGTACATGCCGGCTGGGGCTTCGCGTTCTTGGACGGGGGTTGCGGCATCGAGGGGGTCGGTGGCTGCGGCGGCGGCGTCTTTGGCTGGGGGGCTGGCGGGGAGGGGGGTGAGTTCGGGGTAGGGGACTTCGATGTAGTTTACGAGGATGTTGGTGTAGTCTACGGCGGTGGGGAGCTTGTCGCTTGTGCGCATGTCGTTGTCGACGAGGAAGGTGAGGTGGTGGGTTCCTGGGGTGACGGAGACGTAGGCGGAGAGGGCATCTTTTTTCTTGCTGGGGCCGCTGGGAGATGTTAGTACTGTTGGTGTGTGGTGTAACCTCGAAGGCGGCAGATGCAGAATCGAGTTCGAGGCGCAACGCTCGTAAACGTCTGCCTGCATGGCTGCCCCGCCAATCAAGCCCAAGCAGAGTCCATGCCCGAGACACCCCAAGAAATCGAAACCACTTACTTCCTATGCAACTTATATTTCCGATTCCACCCCGCAAACGTCCCGGTGACATAAACCCTCTCCCCACTCCCCTCCCACTCAATCAGCGTCGGCACAGTCGGCCTCCCCTGCCCGGGCCCCTTAAACTCCTCACCCAGATCCTCATCATCCGCCGTCGTCGTACTCAACATACTCGACCTTCTTGGCAACATGCCATCGGCATCGCTCTCGTGGACAGGCGTCCATATCTCCTGGGGCGAGATGATGGGGCTGCCGGGGGTGTGCACTTCTTCTTCTATGGGGAGGGGCAGGCGTGGGGGCCGCGAGAATTGGGATGCGGGTGGGAGGTAGTCGGAGGCGGAGGCTGGGTCGAGAGAGGAGGCGTTGGCGGAGGTGAGGAGGGGTGGGGAGGAGGTTGATGCGAGGGTCGAGGGGACGTCGACGGGGGCGGTGGGCGAGGGCGCGTGGGGTGAGGTTTCTGTCGAGGGCGCTGGGTCAATGGGCGCTGCATCGGGTACAGGCGCTGGTTGCGGGGGAGTCGCATCGCGGGAGGCGGCATGACCCTGCTTGTCCTTGTCCTTGTCCCTGTCGCTGCGGAAGTGGGCGCCCTTCTGGCTGCTCTGCTCGTTGCCCATGGCGGCGTCGTGGTGGGCCGAGTGGTTGCGGGCGGCGTGGTTGTTGTTGTAGTGGTCCTGGGCGGCCTGCAGCTGCGAGGTAATGGCCCTGGTGCTAGTTCCCACGGTTTGCGCTCTCCCACGCGAGATGGGGCGGGCCGACGTGGGATGGCTCTCAGCGTCGACGAGGCTCACGCTGGGAGCCGCGGGGGCTTTGGCCGCACTCAGCGCCTGGATCGACTCGCGGCGGCGGGCGCTGTGGTGCTGGCTGTGCGGCGGGTGAAGGTGCGGCAGGTGGTGGTGGTGTTGGGGTCGCTCGTGCCCGTGGCCGCTGCCGCTGGGATTGCCGTGTCCGTGGCCATGTGATGCAGTCACGTTGTTGGTGGGCGAGGCCGGGTTCGACGTCGGCGTCGTCGACCGCGAATTCTGGTTCCCCATGGATACGCCCGCTGGATATGTGCACGAGGGCGACGTTACAGGACTGAAGCTGGAGCTGGCCCCGGCCGCTGGATTGCATGCAGCGCCTCACAGGGATTAGCATTTCCATGGCTGCACCCATCGCCGATAGCTCAATGCACGAGCCAATGACACCTATCGTGGGGCAGTCGGCCCTGTATCGTGAGTCGCGCCCAAACACCACCAACGCGTCAACACATCTGCCCGCGCGGATATGGACGCGACCACCGTCTTCTCAGTCGTCGCACGCATCTCCGTGCAGCTGGTACACGTGATCTGGTTTCCCATCAACAAACTCATCAATCTCGTCGTCATCCTATTACTTCCATTCTACAACGTCATCACATTCGTCCTACTACCCTTCATTCACCTCGGGCAGTCAATCATCAGAGTGTTATCAATCCCATTCAGCGTCAAGTGGTTGGAGAGGATAGAGGTATTCAATCTTGATCCATTGCGCATAATCTTTACCATACTAATCTATATAGACACTCTATGTCTACTTCGGAACAGCCAGCCTCATAGGGTGCATCACCGGCACCATCATCTTTGTCATCTTCAGATTCCTGTCATCGACCCTTAAAATCGACGCACCCATCGTGCCCAAGGAGCCTGAACAGGGAAGAACAGCCGCCGAGTACAGGGCTGCGCGGCGTGTGAAGAGGGAGGAACCCATCGACCATTCACCGAGTGCGACGCCTGTGGTGTTGAAAAAGGTTGCTGGGCCTCGCAGGCGGGGTCTGCTCTCACAAGCCATCATCGAAGAAGAGGACTCCGACTTTTGACCTCGTCCAGCCTGGTCAGACGATATCGTTGGGGACAGATACCAGAGTAGAATGACCAGAGTCTCTCCATTGTGAATCCGAACGTATGCTGGGGCTTCGATGAAGCGCGGTCGATGTGTGATATTTGCTGAGACCTAGCCTGCTTGGAGTCTTTCCCTCGTCAACCTTGTCTGCATCATCCGAAAAGAGGTTCAAGGAAAGGTCCGACATTGAAGTTTTCTTTCGCATCGGAGGCTGTGCTGCAGGTCGTGGAACTTGCGGACACGTGTTTTGACGTGCCGATGGCCTACAGCATGTCAGCTACGAGTAGATGGAAGGCTCGTTACTCACGCTGCAGAACCGCCCTCTTTATCGTCGGCACCAGCCAATGTGAGCCAGTGCAATACCACAGCAGCCCACGTGACTGTTGACATTCGGTTAGCCAGATTCACAACAAGCTGGTGGTGAAAGTACCATCCAACGTGCAAATCGTATAGCAGACCTGTCGCCACCAAGACACGTCAGTGAATGCCTTCAGGTTCAGTCAGAGCTCAACGGACAAAGGCCAGTTCGTTTCCCTGCAGGATGCACAGAGAGGCAAGATTTGCGCCAGTCGGCACGATAACAAGGACTGTTCCCCAGAAAGTCTTCCACAGCAGAGTCTCAACTTTCTTTGCCATGACTTCGTTTGATCGATGAAGGTTCGGCGTGGCTTTATTCTTTGTCTGACTACAAATATTGTCGATCCACAGCGCTAAACGGCTCGGGAAACTGGCGCTCGAGGTTTGGCCGCCTCTGACCAAAGGGCTCAAGAGGTAAACAAACACAAGCGTGAGGTAGACGTTGATGACAATATCGCATGTCAAGAGCGGGATGCCGGTGTATCGCTTGACACCAATGCGGCAACGTCCATCGTCGGAGATCCAGAACACCGGTAGGATGAACGCGACACATCCAATGGTACCGAGGCTCACTACGATGCCAATTGTGCTGTACAGCCATAACGGATCATGATAGCGCGTCATGTAAGGTGCTCGTAGGGCGTGCGCTCGCTCGACAAGAAAGAGATACCTACCCACCAAGCCGGGAATTAGTTTTTCCAATTCATCCATGATCTCTCTAGAAGGGACCGCCTCACATGCTCACTTTACTGCCGGCATAGAAGACGATGCACAGTCTCATGGCGACCTTGC